AATTAAGAACTTTTTGACAATGCTTAGAATGGAAACAAAGTTGGTATATACAAAGAATCAAGCATATAAAAATAACATAAATGCTCGAATCAAATTCGAATCTTTATTGCTGAAAAATTTTTATTCCTCAAAAATCAGCAAAATTATTTGGGAAAAACTCATGAATGGTCATTTTCATAGCTCTTTTACAGGATTTGGACTGAAAAATTTCGCATATGCTTAGTAAAATATAAAAGTTGCCACATGCCACGAAGACAATGTAATTATCTGAAAAAATAATATAAACATTTTTTGAACATTTATGAGCGATTTTCCTAATTTTTGGTGCTAGACTTTTGAGCCTATAACTCTAATGAACGAGCTCGTTTTAGAAACAAGAGATGTATCCTCTTCTAAAGAAATATGCATCACAACCAACGAGAGGAAAAGTAGTCATAGATTTGAATCCACAAAAAACTGGACACGCATAAACAATGGAAACTCGCCCCGAAATAATTGTTACATAAACAGACAGCGGACTAGGGCGAATCATCCTTGACCGCTATATAATAGATTGCTTTTCAAGATCAGTGCAGTTTAGAGACTTCTTTTCATATTTCTCACAGGTTATGAGCTTCTTAGGGTCGTTTAATAAATACTAGGTTATCCCACAAATCTTGCCTTGAAAGAGTGCAAAGAAATGGCGAAAATTTTCGAATATAGTACTTCAGTTTTATTTTATACCCTCCAATCTCGTAAAGATAAAAACATGATTTGAAAAATTCACCCCTTTCTTTCCTTTTCCCCTTGGCTTTTTCACAGATTTCCGCTGTGCACCAGTGTAGGCAGTAAAAATTGTTAGACTTGTTACAACTGGTTCGTTTCCGATAAAAAAAAAAACAAATCAAGCACACAAAATTCTTTTGTAAATTTGTAAATCTCACTCACGGGCTCAGAAAATAGTTTACAAATATATTCGCAAGAATTCATATTATAAATGGTCTAGTCTTTAAAAGACATTCTTCAAGATAAATAGACACCAACGTTTTTTGTGGAAATTTTGTGCTTGAATATTCCTTTGTTTTGGGGCTGCAATTTTTAAAAAGTATTGTTTTGCTGCGACTTTTAGAAAGTAACCACATTAAGGCATGAATAGCTTGTAATGGATTGAATAAAATAGTTATTGATTTTGCAGCACAAAGTGATGGAAGATATCACAAGCAAGATTAGTGCTTGATGGAAGCAGTAGTTACAATAAAATTTTCCAACAATTTGACTATCTAAAAAATATTGAAAAAACCAAAAAACCAAAAAAAATAAACAACTAAAAAATTCAGAGCAGCAGCTTTAGATCTCCTAAGGAATTTTTCAGAATTCAGCAAAATTTCCACGAGAGCCAGCAAGATTCTTGCTTGATTATCCTAGCCTGTCTCGGAAGCAGGTGCTGAAGCGCGCTGTTCTGAGCAAAAAAGTGCCGAATACTGCGAGTTGTACGAGAATCCCCACCTCCTTTTAGGGGTTTGTTAGTTTGCACTGCGCAAATGTATTGCACAGATTTCTAAGGCAAACAGTAGCGCAAACGACGGCCAATACATTAACACGAAGAAAAAATTTAGAGCACTGATGTAAACGTAAACGTAAGAATGTTTGCAGAAGCAGACAAAAAACTTTATTTCTGCAGGCATATTGGTTGAGGTTTTACAGCAGTAGCGTGTGTGCTTCTTTTTCCAAAAAAAAACAGTAAGAAAGCAGTGCAAGTTTACTTTTATCAGAAAGAACGAGGCTTGTTTCATCGTTCCTAGTATTTGTATAGAAGTGCTCCCAATTATTAGATTGATTAGAAAAAAATTTGTTCTAACAAGCAAATACGGAAAATTCTAAAGCAATGGAAATGGCTACAGCTCAGTTAGGACCTTTTAAGAAGCCGCTATCTAGTCTCTGTTATGGCAAAGCATCAACTGAAATTTTCCAACAGTAATACAAGATTTTATGAGTAGCTTTCAATCTTTGTTTTTTATCTGTTTTTTTATAAAGTGTGATGCTGTGGACTACACTAGATATTTTGTTCTGCAGTTTGCATTTTCTGCAGTCAAAAAAATGAAAATCTAACATTTTCGCTTGGAACAGCACAGGTCAATTAAATCTGATCAATTATGGCAGCCAAATTTTTGAAAATATCTGAAAAGTACATCTTTCAACTCTGCACTTTACATTTACATCGTTCCAAGTTCGCATTAATACATGGTTGTAGTTTCGAGCAGAAGATTTTGGGTATCCCGATTTTTTACACCATTTCCTCAAGAAAAAATTTTCAGGCCTAATTAACATTCTGATTCTTCTCAAGTTACATTTTCCAATGATACCATACATTAACACAAAAATTTTTCTCTAACACTTCTAGAAACTTTCTAAAATGATCAAATTTATTTTTGATCTCCGAAATTGCAAATATCGAAAGGAAATCCGTATACAAGGAAGGAAGCGGAGGAATTTTTTTCTACAATCTTGACCTGTCGCGCTGCTGCAAAATTCAACCATAAAGTAGTACCTTTTATCGATGGTACCAACGAAAAGGCCTTCATTTAGTTCTGCTAATTTCTACAAAATTTATCAAACGAGTGTGAAGTGCACATGCTGTGTCGGGAGAAAATAAGAGAGTCAAGAGATATTATCCATGCGTAAAGTACTGGAACAAAAAGCGGTGAATGAAGCTGCAAAACCTGGACAATGCACATTTGATTCAGTGCATTGCTTGGTAATCCGGAGTGCAAGCTTGAATGCAGTCTGCTGAACATAATGACCAAGGACAAAGTTATTCATTTTATCGCATAATTGATGGAAAACTTGAAATGAGCAAATCGCCTGAGCAATTTGAGCTAGAGGACAAAGATTCCTTGACATCGTGAATTTATATGTTTTAACCTTTGTGGGATCGGGATCCACTGCAAGATTAAAGTAAGCAAACCTAAACTCATAGGAAAATCGTCGCTGTTAGTACTATAACTTTTCCAAATTGAATCAAATACATTCCCATTATTTATAAGATGCGCATCATGGTTGATCAAGAACCTTCTCGAAAGGTTCACCAGTGTTTTGTAGGAGATAGATAAGAAGTAGAAGATGGATGTTTCAATTTGAGGAAGGACAGGACAAAGGGCACCTATGGTAGTAGTTAAGATCATTGTCTAAACTTCTTCGCTTTACCAAAGGATATGATAAGAACTCATACAACTGATCTTCTCCAGTGTGAATCGACCATGAATTCAGAAAAAAGCTGTCACAAAAAGTATGCATGTACGTTCCTTGAAAAAATGTTGTGGTCTCATACTTATGTCCAGTGTTCGTATGCAAGCTGCAATAATAATTTAGATTATTTTGAAGGTGTTGTAAGCTCAATAGGTCCGTCTTAATTCTTATTTTCTTGGCACCACCTCTAGCGAATAGCGTAGTGATTCAAAAAGTACGAATGTGGACATAGCTTACTGCTAAGCAGATGAACAGTTTACAGCTATGGTTTGATAAAGACTTGTGAAGCTTGAATTATTTTAGTTCCATCCATCGTAAGTCCGAAGTCGTGTGTCAATGCCGTGCCAGCTCCGTGCCGGAACGCACGACAATGCACGTACTAAAAGGTCACTTTGGACGATTTGATAATCTTCCAAGATCTCAACTCTTTCCTGCTGTTTACCAAGCTAATTGTAAAATTTTCTACAATTAACACAAATAAACATCGATACTGCGACCTCAAGGACAACTTGTATCCGGCGGAATTTGTGTTCCGTGGCTATAAGCCAAATTCCTGTCTGCTATTTTATATTTACATGACTCTCTCGCCAAATAACATCTAATTTTACTCTGTTTGACTTCGAGCTCCTCCTTATTGTAGCTCCAATCACTCATTATATAATCGTTCAAAGCGAGTTTACAGTATTACTGATGTGTTTGATAGTGTTAACTTTGCATATTCATCAGACTTCGATAAGGTGTCATGGAAATGACGTGACGGTCATTGCGCTATGTACGTTTGTATCACAACCTTAACCATAAGTGTAACTTACGTAATCATTATGCAAAGACAAACAATCAAAAGCACAAAATTCATTCATAAATGCATACTTGAACACTCACAAAAGTGCGACAAAATAAACGGGTCATTATAAATAACAATGCAAATGTTAGTAATCAATATAAAAAAGGGAGGTAATAATGATGAAAAATTTTCTGCTCAACTTCTTGTTTGAAGTTCGGGGAATTTCAGAAGCTTCCTGAACACCATGCCTAGAAGATGACAACCTGAATAAAATCAGAAATGTGAAAACCGAAGCTCGGGTCTGTTCGATGAAACTTACTAGTAAAAAGCATAACTGCCCACTTTCTAGAAGCTATATATGCTAGACGAGATTAGTGGTTTAAGAAAATTAGGAAATTTAGATTACTCAAGCTCAAAGAGCCGTACTGATCGAAAGGAAGACATAAAAGGATTCTGGATTCTCACAGGAATTTCACAAAAGTGACAACATCGAAACGCGGTCTTCTTTTTAGTATGTATTTTTGAATTATATGAACACAAAAGAAGTATAATACAGAAGGAAAAACTAACTAACTCAATGGGCAGATTTTCTTCGAGATTCTGCAAACGAGCTCTTGGCTACAGCTGTTCATCTAACACACTAACGTGTTCAACTGCTTTTTGGAGTAATATTTTCAGACAAAGGACAAAACCTAATTTCAGCAAGACACATAACTAACAGATTGACGAATCAAATCAATAAATATTCAACCACACATAGTACGCAATGATTGCGTAGTCAGAAGATTTATGAGTTTATTCCTTAGCCAAATGATGTCACCAGCATGGCACGCCTTACCTTGATGTTTAAGAAGGAAGTATCGTACTCGAGCGTACTTCTATATAAATTGTGACTCTATTACTACTTTCCTAACGGTTTCTTTTGCGCTTACATAGCATGTTGCTAGAGAAGTTGTCCAAAATCATTTTTATGCATATTTTCAGACTTTCTATGGGCCGAGAAACAATTGGAGATTTCTTTTATCATTCTGAAGTGCCTAAACTCGATGTATTAGATCTAAGAGACACCACAAAATACAAATACACAGGTATGTAAACATGATTTCTGAATTTAAAGTAGCTTTGGTCCGTTTTGATTGTAAAGAGTTATTTATTTGTATTGAGTAGTTCTTTTTAGCAGAGCCCACCATAAAAAGAGCCGAATCGTTCTCTTCCTTGAGTACACCGCGAAAGGAGCCAGGTGACTATCCAAAGAAATAACTTGCGTAAAATTGCAATAGAATGAAATATGTCAACAATTCAATAAAAGCCTGACCACGGTATTTTTATTCATAATATCTTAGGATACAAATGGAACATGTACTATATTCTCTGGAGGATCAATGAATTCATTGAGCTACGACATCTTTTTATGATATTTATGATTACCGCCTACACTGCCCTGGGCGCATATCTCCTTTACACGATTGAATCAAAAAATGAAAAAGCGGTAAGCAACATTTCTTGATTCTAGGAAAATTTTTATAAAGATAGTTTGTAGATCTACCCCACTCGAATGAAGGATCTGACAGCAGCTGTCGTTGATTTAGCCAAGAAGTATAAAGAAGAGAAGAAATCTAACAGATCTGTGCTGTTAGAAGAGTTGAAGGTAAGTTAAAGTGCTCCCGTAAAAATAGGTTTTTTTGATTTAAGAATAGGGATTTAGGGAGATTACAAAAAGCTTCAAAGTTTTGAAAACATTTATAAATGGTCTACATATTATCGCATCGAAGAACAATACAAATGGAATGCATGGAGTGCAACTTTCTTTGCGATGAATTTATACACAACTGTGGGTTACGGTAAGGAGATGATATTTATATCAAAAATTTGGAAGTTGATAATTATGTTGAAGGTACTATTGCTGCTGAAACCCTAACAGGAATCGCTTGCGTCATGATCTACACAATGTTATTCTGCCCTATAACCATGGTTATCAGCCGTGATTTGGGACAATGTGGCCTCGTCTATCTGACCAAATTCTATGGCTACATAAAATATAGATTTACGTAAGGTCTAAGCAAATGTAGCTTTTACAATTACTTAACATATTTTCTGTAGGTCAACTGCAGAAAAAGCCGCAATTCTTGCCGACGATCTCGTCATTTTGCCTGTGAAATACGGATGGGTGGCTATGTTTGGTACGTTTGTTTTCTGTTATGTAAAAAATCATTTTTTAAGAATTTTTGCGATCATCACGAAATAAAAACCAAGCAAAATATGATATAAAACAAAAGTCAAAAAATTTATCTCAAGATAGTCGTTGTTTCCAGGATTTCTGGGCTTGACTACAGTATTTCTCTACTTCTATGATGGCTTAACAGGACCAGATGCTGGATTATCGTGGTGGGAGTGCTTTTACTTTTCCGTACAAACTTATACAACTGCTGGATTTGGAGATATAATGCCCATAAATGTTACGGTAAGTTCATTTTAGTTTTTTTAAACCAACAATATGGATAGAATTTCAACTAAACTGATGGAATTCTTCGTTTGTGAAATCAGAATTCCTCACCTTGAGGATTTGAAATGTAGAAATACATAAACCTTGTACCAAGGTATGAAAAACTCCTTCTAAATTTTTTCAAAGAAAAAGTCAGTCTCAGACAATATACTTTTTGTTACGTGTGATGAATATGGTTTTTTGTTATTTATAAATCTGCGACAAAATCATAAACTCATATTGAAAGAATTTTAATGAGTTTAAAATTTTGATGGAGGACTTGCCTTTGAACTTGATTTTTTTTTTTACTATCTCCAGACGTTATGAACCGCACTTTCATTCATAATGACGTCAAAACTGAACTAAAATTGGCATTAGGAAACTACATATTTCGTTCCTTTCTCGTCGTGAATGTTTTATTTTTTAGTTTGACCCAATCGTCGGCCTAGTCTACTTCTTTTGTTTGCCGGTTCTGAAGGTCGTAAATCGAATGACGTACTTATACTTGGAGAATGGAATACATGGTCTGTTGTTCGGCATCATACTTGCCAACTTCGACTGTAAAAGTTTAACTGTTTTTTAGGATATTTTGCGATAGTTGATTCAACAATAAATTCTTATTTGAATACTCTACATTCGTCGGAAAAACCGGTAAGTAAAATGATTTTCTTTTATTATTGAGAGTCTGCAAAAGATTTTTCTTTCAGAAAGCTCTTACCGATCTCGCTACAAGCACAAGTGAAGATTATTATAACAAAGAGGTATACATTACAAATTTACTTAGATTAGGTTGGTCCGAAAGTTCGTTCGCACCATTTTCAAAAAATCACAACTTCTTTCCTTCACAACGATTTTGCGCCTTTCAAATTTTATTAGAAAGCGTAAAGCATGTGGTTTCCAATAGTCCTCTGGCGACTTTCCAGTATGTTCAGATTGCAGAGATAAAAATGAAAGAACGAGAACATCCGAAATTCGGAATTTTTGAGAAAAAATTCTAAAAATCTAGAAACTGCGCGATCAAATCCAGAAAAGCCATTATCCTAATTTTTCTTACATTTGATCACTAATTGAAAAATCACTTTCCTATGAATTCTTAAATTGATTTTTCGGCATTTTATTTCAAAAAATCATAACTTTTGAAAGAATAGCTCGATCAGCACAAACTTAACTCAGTTAGTAATAAAATATAAGAAAAATTAGGATAATGGCTTTTCTGGATTTCATCGCGCAGTTTTTAGATTTTTAGAATTTTTTCTCAGAAATTCCGAATTTCGGAAGTTCTCGTTCTTTCATTTTTATCTCTGCAATCTGAACATACTGGAAAGTCGCCAGAGGACTATTGGAAACCACATGCTTTACGCTTTCTAATAAATTTGAAAGGCGCAAAATCGTTGTGAAGGAAAGAGGTTATGATTTTTTGAAAATGGTGCGAACGAACTTTCGGACCAACCTAATATTAACGATAGTCTATGTAATTGCACGTCGAGAAAAATATTCTAATCAGGATGTGTAAGAAACTCTTTCAAATCACTTTCAGCAAACAGATATCATTCAACCACTGCGACAAACATTATTTGATTAGTAAGATTGTAATTTTCTTGCGTAAACAAAGCCTTTTCATTTTTTAATTTGCTCTATGTGGCTAGATCGTCTGCAGTGCGCTGATATACTTGCTATCTTCTAAAAGTTACTCTGAAAAAACCTATAACATTTTCCATAACAAAAACGCGACGGAAATTGGTCACAATAATTTTCCCCAGAATTAGAAATGATTTTACAGCTTGAATGGGCAAATGGTTTGACGATACGCTCGTTGGCTGCGATGGCATCCAGTCCGGCTGACGTTTTCGGTGGAGCTCTCGGAAGAATCGACCTACGGGCTGAAGACCTACAGCCCGTGCGTAAAGGCTCGAAAAATTAGTGGAATTTGTTTCAAATCTTGGATACAGTTTTAATTGTTTATTCATTATGATAAAGTGTATAAGAAAGCGTGAGGACATGTTGCAAGTGCAAAATAAAGCTTTTGATTTTATATGTCTACTTGAGACAGAACTGAAACTCCTTTGCTTGAAACGAAAACTAAGCAATATATGTATGTCATGAAAGATCCAGATTAAACCACTACTATCGTTCTTTTTACCGGATGCTTCTTAAAATAGTAGACATAGATTTCTTGTTGATTCTGTCATTCATATTACGATCAATATAAACAGCTAACTATACAAAACAAACATTTCGGTACCTCTTTGACATTTTATACCCAACTTGAGCATCTGCGACAGCCAGCAATGTGTTTCGGGATCAGGATCTTTCAGCAGCTTGATAAGCAACTAAAAATAAAACAGAATAACTGACATTAAAGGCACTCTAACACTGGGTGTGAAAAGAATAGCTCATTACAAAAGTACTGGAAAAATGTGCTCAAAGCTCAGATTATGACTAAGGATACGAAACACAGATAAGACTTTGAATATGATCATGAAAGTAGGAATTACTACCAACATGCAAGACTAGAATGCATTCGGACAAGAAAAAAATTCAGAAAATCCTGCAATCACGGTTAAGAGAGCAATATTGATAGAAACACAATAAATAAGTGATATCGTGAATACTCCAAATTCGGCGAAAAGAAAGCAGATAGAAACACATTGTGAGAAATGATTTGTGCTCAAAAATAATACTATTTAAGCAAGAATTTCATACAGATTTCAAATCACACTCCAAATCTATGACGTACTCAATTATATTTGGAGATTACGAGGTCAAAAAGAAGAGCGCGTGACTGTAAAAACGGAAGCAGGATACAATAGCTCCGCAACTGAAAGTATATCTTTGCTAGAAAAAGAATTTCTCGTTTGAGCGTAAGTCAAAGGATAATGATAAGTTTGTCTAACCAGTGACATCCTTGAGCTAGTGCAGTTTTGATCGTTTGCGAAGCTCTGAAACTAGAACAATTCCGAGTGAAGTAGAAAATCTGATTTTGGAGAGAGTCGAACGAAAAGGCACTACTTTCTTCGTTCATCAATAGTGCTTAAATTGATTTAGAGAATTCTTCTAATGCTCGGAGACGATTCTTCATTACATAGTTTTTGTTAGATATAGTAGAATTGTTTTTTAGTTAGGACATGGAACGCAAACATTCATGATCATATTCAAACTTTTTTACGTACTTTCATGATCATATTCGAAGTCTTATCTGTGTTCCGTATCCTTAGTCATAGTCTGAGCTTTAAGCACCTTTTTCCAGTACTTTTGTAATGAGCTATTCTTTTCACACCCAGTGTTACAGTGCCTAATGTCAGTTATTCTGTTTTATTTTTAGTTGCTTACCAAGCTGCTGAAAGACCCTGATCCCGAAACACATTGATGGCTGTCGAAGATGCTCAAGTGGGGTATAAAATGTCAAAGAGGTACCGAAATGTTTGTTCTGTATAGTTAGCTGTTTATATTGATGGTAATATGAAGTAATATGAATGACAGAATCAACAAAAAATCTTCGTCTACTATTCTAAGAAGCATCCGATATAAAGAATGATAGTAGTAGTGGTTTAACTAGTGACTGATGAAAAAAGCCGATGACCTAATATATCTACCAAAATTTTTTGCATAAGTGGACAGGATATAGTATATAATGATGATACTATACGTAAGAAGAAAAAAACAATTTTTCTTCTGCACAGAAATGATTTCTGCAGATGATTTTATTTTTAGTAATTTTTCCGATTTCGCGGGTGTTATCAAGCAAGTCTTAAAAATTCCTGTTTCACCAATGCTTTATAATCCACTCGTTTCAGCAACGAATCGGTGGAATCGATTACACCGGATCACAAGACCGTCTAAAGCTCCAGGTGGAGTCCTACTTGCATGTAGGGCAAACCTTTTGCAAATAAGTGCAATATTTCGCAATTTTTGAATTTGCTTTTTATTATATGCTTTTCAGTGACTAAATTTCATACGCATTAGTCGGTACTCATTAGAGGTACCAAATGATCTCTTCCTCCCTTCTCGAGAGTTACTCTTTCTTTTCGATAAATATAGGATCTACAGCAGGGCGTTTAGAAAATGCAAGAAACGAAGTCTCACTTAACTTTCGCGAATTTTTACAAAGTCCCCTTTGTCCCTAAACCCTAAAAGTAAAAAAAAAACATCAAAAAACGAAACGTCGACCAAAAGATACTTCTCAATTTTATCTCTTTTCGGCCACAAAAACGAAATCCCTTTGCTTTTTGTCCAAAAAACGATTCCAGCTTGCTACCAGCCACCCGAGCCCTGATAGATGAAATCTTCAAAATTTGGGAGCAAAGATCGTTCATTTACTTTGAAAGGCTAGTGATAGTGATAAACAAGTTTGAAAGCTGAATATACTGGAGATTTTGCAGTGTTTGGTGCATTGTGTGTTATGCGATTTTTTTAAAATTCAAGACTTTTGAAAAATTCTACTACAAAATTCTGAAATCGTCTTTTTCTTAATCTCTAGTAACAACAAAAAAGTACAGCAGGCTTGCACAAGAATGTCTGCTTGTCTCACCTGTGTATAAGTGAGTAAGTGAGTAATTCGTACAATTTCGTGCCATCGTGGTTATTTTTAGTATTTTAAGCTGTTGTAGTTTGCCTTCTAGCTACAAGAACAGAAATTCTGCGGATAGTTAGAGCTCATCTTATTGGTTTTGTAGAGTTTTTTCCAAACTGTCTGATTCCACCAAGAAAGGGAAATTGCAAAAAATAATAATTTTTTGCCTTACAAAATCAGCGCCAGACCGATGTTAAAACAGGAAAGCTGCTATTTTGTGGAATAGCTCCTCAAAAGCAGGCTAAACATAGTGGGAAACAGTTGAAGACTCAGGGTTTTCGTCTCCAAAATTCTTTCGAAAGCTAGTAGAAATCGGAGGAAAATTCCATTTCACATAAAATTTTGATCTTATTAAACAACCTAATTCTTATCACTGAGCTCTACGCTGCCTTCCCCTCACAAGATCATTTACTAGAGTGCTGGTACAAATTGAGTTTTTGAGGGTTTTGAGCTCATTGGCCCTGTTCCAATTTTGCAGTTTTGCTAAAGCACTAAGAGTGTTTTCGGTGAAGGACCTTACCGTGCCTAGCACTGGCGCAATCTGGAGAATCGGTGTGGGAAAGTTCGTCTTGAATTTCATTAGCTACACATCTTACCGCCCAAGCAATGGACGAAATTTTTTCTTTTCTTTCTTCAATTCACGAAATGCTCAAGAATGATTCCTCTCATACATGTGCAAGGCTAAAGGAATGAATTTTATTTTCAAAAAAATTCGGCCTTTCTAAAAAATTCTGGTCTAAAATCGCTGCTGAAATGTTTGAACTGCAAGTCGCCCTATATTTTCTATAATGTTTCTTTGATAGGTAATTTGCAGTAGATATATAGAAAGCATAAATAATTTAAAGATTGTTATATTTGTACGAAAGCTCTCCAGCAGATCATCCTGCATTTCTTTCCGATTCCTAATCTGCGTGAGAAACGCAGCGCGCTGATTTGGCAGCATTCCAAAAGGTTTTTACCAAACAAATCTTCTGCAGTCGTACTAGAGAGCGGCGAACAACAGGAAAAGTAACTGGGGAACAGACTGTACAAATCGTGGACCCTGTTTCTGTCCACTTACTTAAAAAAATTTTGTGTAGATAGATTAGGTTATCGGCTTTTTTCATCGATCACTAAAACTCACAGAACATCAATCCAAAACCGACCTAGTTGTAAGTACCATTTGACTCAGATTTCTGTTCTTTCTTACAGCTATATTTGCTATCTAATCTACCCTGTGTTTGCAATGTTATCGCAATGGCTTTTTGAGAAGCTCAGCAGTAACGCCAAATTTTCCTTGAATTTTAAAAATCGTCATCCTAATATTTTCAAGGAGAGCTGGTAGCTGATAAGTAGAGCAAACCCGGCTACATTACGCTCATTTTAGAATACATGGGCCATGCTTATCAAGTTAGTATCAATCATTTACATGGGAACCACGACTTTTTTTATCACGTTTCCCACGCAAGAGTACCGCAAATTCCAAGAAGCTGATTCTTCAAAGCAATTCAAACTTGGTTATGTGTTGTTGTATCTGATGAAAATTAGGTTCTTCCGAGATCTCTTTTTCTTCCGATCTTTCATGTTCTTGCTGCAGTGCGTGTTTCATGACTTTGCCAAAAACCGAGATCTCCGAAGAAAGTACATTTTTCAGAGCTAAAAGAGCAGATCAGGAAAATCTAAAATCATTCTCGTATAGTCCGAGTGCCATACCCAAATCTTTCCGAACTTTGAAATGAAAGTTTGAAAATTAGCCGAACTTTAAGCAGACTAAAATGATGGTGAAGAGTTTTGGTAGTTTCCAAAAAAGGATTACAAGATTGCGGTTCAAAAATGTTATCCATAAGAAAAAGAAGGAAGAGCCGCATGGAATGCAAGTTGAAACTCATTCAAGTCTTTATTGTGCGTAGTTTTATAGTGGTTTGAAAAGACGACAAAGCTTCCGGACAACCTAATTCTGAAATTCTTGAATAAAAATTTTGAAATATTGCACTACCAGCAGAAATCATCAACCCAGTCGCAAAAGAGGGAGTTATGAAGCGTTGACGAAACAGGAATTTCTACATGCCTGCTAGCACCCTCGAGCTCTGAAACATTGTTAATAATAAAATCATCTGCTGGAATCATTTATATAAAAAAATTGTTTCTTGCTCTTCTTGCATATAGTATCATCATTATGTTCTGTCCACATGAGATTTTCACTACGTATGTATTTTTGCGAAATTTTTGTGTAGATGTGGTTATGTAATCAAATGTATCAACAAAAGAAGTGTTGGAAATGTTCCTGTTACCCGAAAACTGCCTGAATAATTGTGACGCTGACAAAAAACCCAATTGCAATCTCAACTTTTTATTTGGGTTCTCTAAGGTGTCCATAAAAATAGAAGGCTTTCATTTGTGTAAATTTCTTCCTACATGGATATTTGCACAGGGGAACTTCACTTCGATGTCGAATTAATTCCATCTATTTCCCGTC